CATGGGAATCCAGCAAGACCACTCTGTGTCCAGGATGTCTCCATTCATTCAACTTAAAATCTAATGGAGATCTCAGCTCTGAGCTCTGGGGAGATTTCAGAGCAGGGTCAGAAATAGAGGTGAATCATTAATGAAGCATCATTAACCATCAGTCTTCTACATTAGCAGCAGCTGCCCATTGTCCATTTTCCCCTTGCCATAATGAGGAACCCCAGACTGAAGGTCATCTGCTGGTTGGATTAGTGTGTTCATACACCTGGGGCTCCTGAGAGGCTGCAACAAGAGCAGCAATTTGTGCCACTCTGTCCTTCCCTGTGCCCATCAGCTGTGGAGCAGCAAAGTTCCATCATGAGGCACAAATTCACCCTTTGATGTTGCTTTTGCTGCTCCTCAGTTCAGAGCTGCTGCTGCCAGAGCATTCAATGGTCCCTAAGTGGTGACTGTCCTCTGCTAATGCAGATGCATTTCTTCTGTGAGTTAGCTTGATTGTGTTCTTGGTGTGTGTTTTCTGTCTTGTTTTGGATGCAAACAAGGGTCCTTGGTCCAGTTCTTTTATTTTTTTAAAACTGCCCTGGATCATCTCCTGAATCAGAGAGGAGCATCTTAATACAGGAGTTACTTCCACCACTCTGCCTGGGAAACTCTTCCATGCACTCAGGCACCTGAAAGCCAGGCCACCCTCCAGTCAGGCTACACTTTACATTAAAAATTCAACAGTTTTATTTATTCTCCCATCCTTCATCACACCACTTTTCCCTGTTTTCTGGCTCATCAAAGCCATAAGAGAATATTCTGTCACCAGAGGCACGGGTAAGACCTATTGGGACACAAAGTCTAATTGTGGATATTCACTAAATTCACCTCAAAGTGAACAAGAAAAAACTGAAAATTCTTCTTGCAGGTTATGTTTGATGTCTGGTTTCAGTCTCTTCTTTTTCTCTTGGGTGATGGTGGGTAGGACCACTCAAAAAAAGGGTCTAGCCAGGCATGAGGGAGATCAAATATTTCCCATCACTCAACAGCAACTGACCCATCTGCCCAAGGCTGGCACTGACAGCTCTGTGGTGGTACAGGGAGAGATTAACTTGTGGAGCAGCAGGAAAACTTAGGGGTTTCCAGAGAACTGTCTTGGAGTCTGAATGAATCTTCTGGCTGGGAAATACTGGGATAAAGCTTCCAGCACTTGTCAGCGTGGACAGTGGGGGATGTGGGTGCATTCAGACAGAGCTAAGGTGGTCAGTGACTGTATCTTTAGGTGAATGTTTAGCTTTTGTTGCCTTTTGATGAATCACAGTGTCTTTTATTAGACAAAATTAATGGAAGTGCTTCTCTTTTTACAGTGGCCACATTGCCCAGGAAATGAAATGTCATAAGGGGAAAAAAGCTCATTAGTTTGGTGCTGTTATTGGTTCTCCAAGGTCTCAGAAAACCTGTGATTTACATAAACATAGAGGCAATTAGAAGCAAACACACACATAAAACCCAGATTTCCATCCAAAAATATGGTCTGCAACATCTCTCTTTGGCCTCTCACAGCTGTGACCTAGAGGTAAGGGACTTTTCATACCAGTCATGACACAAACTGAAGGCAGAGGAAGGAGAGCAGCCAGGCCAGGATGAAAGTGAGGACAACAGAGTAATACAGGGTAGTATAGGGTATGTAATATAGTCCCCAGGATACCAGCTAAGGGATTTTGTGATTTACCCTCAGAATTGCATCCTTTTTTGGAGCAATTTGAAGCAAATGCTACCCTGTTGTGTTTTCTTCACACTGAAGTCCTCAATCAGGTGGTTGCTGTTGGGTGGACATGTTGATAGTCCTTAGTACAGGGCAGAATAGTTCTAATTTTATAAGAACTATCTCAAATCTTCACCTTGCAATGGCTGAAAAAGTGGACATCTTGTCAGGTTTTCTAGTGAGTTCCATGAAATCCACCAGCAGGTAATGTTCAAGAAGAGGATGAGAACAGGAGGAAAAGGGAGTGGGACAGCATCACAGACTCATGTATTTGTACCAGACTGTGCACTCTTTACTCTGCATTTCTGCCCTTAACCTTGAGCATTTACTCAGAATAGACCCAGATATGAAAAATGATGTGTATTTTGTAAAAAACAAAGCTTGGCCTCCTTGCCTGTCACTGTGGCAACCGTGTCAACAGACAACTGCGTTGGTGTCACTCTGTGAAAAACAGTGAAGGAGACAAAGGTGTTCAGGCAAGGTGAGACAGAAAGCCCAGAGTCCCACCCAGCATCCTGAATAGCAAAAGTCACATCAACTACAGCAGTCTGTGGATAACCTGCCCTATAGGAATATCCCCCACAGAGTCCTGGTAGTCAAAAAGGCAGATTGAAACATCTCCACTGTTTTTAACAGGTATTTTCGTGACTTTAGGTGCTCCGTCTGTTCAGGCAATTACACAATCCCTTCTGAATGCAAGGCTGACATCCTGCAGTAATGAGTTTCACAGGCTGATTACTTGTTGCATGATAAAAATAAGTTGGCAGCAGCTGACTCTGAAAAGCAATGGGGGAAAAAAACCAAGAAAAAGTAGTGTTATTTGTTTTCCCAGAGAAGAGAGAGGGGGCAGTGAAGAAACACCGTCCTGCCTTACCCAGGACGGGAGAAAGGCATTGAAGTTGTTAACTGACCTGGTGGGGCAGAGCATGCTCGTGAATGTTGCAACTTTGGAGGTTATGAATGCTCCCAAAGCCTTCAAAGAAGGGTCTTGGGGAGTTTCTATTGTTGCTGGTGCAAAAAAGGTTTTTACCTAACATCTAACCCCTGCCTGAAAGAACCATGGAGTTCAGTCACTTATGTCGACCTCTGGAGTAGTGTTATGATGTCATCAGTGTTACAATTTTACACAAAATTAGGTGTGCAATTGTGTGTTAAATAGTGGTAGTTAGCTTGCATTGCTCAACTAACGAAGCAGGCAGCATAAAAGCTGTCACATATGGACTGCTCCAGGGCACTGGCACTATAAGGGAGTCTGAAATCACTCTGACTTCACTGGGAAGAGAAGCCTCCCTTTTCCTTCTCTGGCATCCCCTCAGTAGGACAGACCCTCTCACCCATCTCCCAGCCCAGAGTGCTCCTGCAATTTGCTCTAGAGCTTATACATCTGGCTCCCTGTCCAGGGAGCCCTGCCCTGTAGTGTGTGACATCCTAAAGAGTGCAATGGCAAGCAGGTAATTTTGTTTTCCAGCATTAAGGGACTCAGCCTGGGCAGGCTCAGTCCAGCAAGCAATGTGGCCCTTGGGTAGTTGGTCTGACCCCTCCTGCATGACTTGGAGCAGAAGCACCAGCTGAATGCTCACTGTGGTGCTGTCTGAGGTAATGTGGGTGAAATCTTATCCAGCAGAGTGAGGATTTGGTTCAAGGTCTTACAAGTGAAATTTTTGACCATTATTGCTATCAAAACACTTAGCTGTTGGCTATATTAATTAGATCTCAGCAGATGCTACTTTACCTTCTAAAGTATAGTTATTTCAGGGAGGTAGTGCCTCATCTTGTTGTTTATTCCCCAATACTTAACTACAGTGGTTGCAGGGAAAGAGCAGAATTGTTCTTGGCATTCAGACTGCAATGATGCCCACAGAATCAGGGAAAGGGATGGGGGAGATTCCCCTCCTTCCTCCTCTCTTCTTTTGGACCACCTTCTTGTCCAGTTTGCTGTTCACAAATGCAGCCAAAAGCTTCATCAAATATTGCCACCTCTTATTTTAAGCAAGGTCCTTGCCTGCAAGTCCCAGTCCTGAGCCAGCATCTGAGCATGGCAGCGGGATCCCAGCAGGGAGGAGGTGACAGGAGCACCAGTTTGCCCAGTTTGCCCAGTTTACCCAGCCAGTGCCCAACCAGGGTGTGAATTTGGCCTGGGGCTGTGTCATGGACCCTCTGGTGGGGACTCTGGGCTGACTCCAGGTGGAATGCCCAGTCCCTCAGCACACAGATGGATTTTGGCTCCGGTCCATGCCAGTCTTCCCCTGCAGCCACCTCTACAGTATTTAAGTATTCTCCTGGTTCACCACTATGCAAATATTGAAATTAGCCCTTTGCATGATTATGGAGACAGTGACATTAGAGACTTTCTCAGATCATGTGCTTTCTCTGCTGACAGCATCAGCCATCAGGTTTATTTTTCCATGAGCTAAAGGATGGCCCCTAGTGTATGAAAACTTCACAATGAAGTCATTGGTATCTGGAATATTTTTTTTTCTTTAAGCTTTTATCTGAATGCATTAAAAACACAAAATGTTGTGCTGTGAAAGAATGCAAAATGCAGCCTTCATAGGAATGGCCCAATTCTCAGAGACCAAGACTTTAACTGAACTTCAGTAAAACCAGAAGAAATTAAGAGGGGCTATAAGGGGAGTCATAACCCACTAACAGGTCAAATATGGCCTGAGACCCTGAGAGAAGCAACAGATCTTATACCATGAAATGAAACAAAGTCCTTGGGTAGGTATCTAACTGGTCTGGTCAGAGGGCCTCAGGATAGTAATTTCTCCATGGGAAAATATATATTTTTCATATCAGCTACATTTCTACAAAATGCTGCATTTGCATCTCATACTTTTGCCGCATTCAGACATCTTCCCTGAGAGCCTTACCTTACAGAGAGCTGCAGAACAACCAAAAACCTTTAATGAGTGTGTATGTGCTTAAAAAATAGCCATTTTCCCCCAAAAAATGCTGCCATAGCTGTTGGACTCAGCTATTACCTTTTCTTAAACTGTGATGATTTCTTGCCCCGGTATGAATCCTTTGCAGCATGGAGCAGAGCTAAGCCTGATTAGCCAGCCTCACCTTCTGCCTGTGGGGCTAATGGGATTTATTCTCCATTCTAACACACTGGTGTCTCATCCCCATTATTTTACATCTCATCTGGAGTTAGCAAGTTGTCCATCTTCAGAGCACACGGGGCATGGCCAAGGGGAGCTGGATGTTATGTGCTCTGCCACGTTGGATGGGCAGTGATAAATTATCCCTCTTCCCCCAGGTCCTTCCATCGTCCCACTGCAGCGAGCAGAGCCAACACTGGGCAACCCTCTAAAATGTTTATTTGGACCAGTGGCCGGGGATCTACATCTTACAGACATGATGAGAAAAGGTAAACAGCACCTGTGCAGATTGTCTCCCGTGGGTTTGAATATTTATGAGTGTGGCACTGACTTCTCCCCAGTGGTGGCACTGGAGAAGCAGGAGGGATGGCAAGGGTGGGCATCACATCCCTGTGCCTCACAACCCCAGCTGCTGCTCCACCAGGCACAGGACCAGCCCAGGAGTGCCAGGGTTATCGTGCCAAGCCAAAGCAGAGCAGATGGGCGATGCCAGAGCCATGGCTGAAGTCTTCCTTGCTCTCAGGACATCAGCAGCACAGTGTGACCATCTCTGATTTAGGTTTAAAAGGACACTAATCCCCAGCCACAGGCTGGCAGCCCCAAGCCCTGTAAAGCCTTCATGCTTGTTGCAGGTGTCCTGCCTCCAGCCTTCAGCCACACCATCCCCCAGCCAGACCACTGTCCCACGCAGCTGTTGCACATGTGGATGGTGCATCCAGCTGCCAGAGATGTTTTCTGGTTATACAGGTGCACCTGTGAGTGTGAGCATGTGTGTAATACATTGCACAGTAGCTGGGGGTTTAGCTGCTTGAAGATGAGCTGGTGGCTCACCAGCCCACTCGAGTGGTGTCACTGGAGGGAACAGGCTGAAGGAGACAGAGGAATAAATGAGTTACTGCATCTCCCAGGAGAGAAGGGAAATGTGCCAAAGAGAAGGAAAGGGATGGAGAGGTTTGAAGTCCACAGACAAAGGCAGTGCTCAGTTGGGAATAAAAGAAGTTAAATATCAGTGATGAAAGAACAATCATCAGTAATGCTCAGATTCATCCTTCCAAAATCCCTCTCCTTTGTAGTAAGATTTGCTGGACAGCTTGTCTTGTCACAACAAGGGCACATTTGCCTTTCTTTTCTTTCCTTTGCTCCTTTCCACCTCTCCTTCAGTTCCTCTTGCAGTCACTATTAAATGTAATCACAAATAAAATCACACTCCAGTGAAACACAAACAGATATCAATGTATCTACAGTGCCAATTAGCAAAACACACTCTTCAGTAATTCTGATGACACATTACTGTTGGCATCTGCTTGGCAATATGCACTCCTGAATTCAGGCAGCAGAGCTGCCCTCAGGACCCTGAGATTCTTTGGAGAATTGTCCAATTCGCTGAATGTCTCTGCAAAGGTTGCATAGGTGTTCAGCTCTTTGGATTATCTGATCCCAAACAGATATTTTGAAGGCAAAAACGCCAGCTTTGCAGCATGAACTTTCATTAGAGCTGGTTGTCTAAATGCCTGCTGTACTTCTCTTAGATTCTTCTTTGATTGAATTTTCCCCAGGCTAATGTCCTTCTGCATTAGAACAGTCATGGCCCAAGGTCAGACCCTTGAAGGAGATATCTGCCCACACTTTGGGCTGGCTGGAAACTCCTGATTAGCGCAGCCCTTGACTCTCACCATGCCTTGAAGCCAGGCTTATTAACTTGGGCTGAGGGGCCACCAGAGCCAGGTCAGTATAAACACAGGCAGAGCTCATCCCTGCCTGCCTGCAGAAGCAGGGAATAGGGAACAGTATCTCTAAGCCTACACCCCAGCCATGGTAAATTCAGATATCTTGACAAGCCTTCGGGTGGGTTTATTTCCCAGGAGGTTCTGTAGAGCTGTACAGGACTTCCTTGTACCTTGTGAGTGATTAATAAAATGCAGGAGGGAAAGGGAGGAAAAGAAGATGGAAATAAGAGAGTGCTGATGGCAGCCTGAGGACTGCAGAGGAGAGGTGTGAACACAGAGCAAGTGCTGTTAGTGGGAGAAGCTCATCCTCCAGTGTCTGGCAGTGATTTTAACACATGTAAGGTCACCAGTGCCATCATTATATCAAACTGGTGGTGCCTTTTAGAAAAATGACTCACCTTAAATGACCCTTTCCCAGGAATTTTGTTCTTTAAACTTCAGACAGGAGATTGTCATATGGATCAGCAGACTTGTCACCCAACATATGCTACAAGCACAGACTTTTGATGGGTTGCACCATAATATTAACTGTACTACAGTGAGCCACTTGCTCTAAAAGAATCACCTCCTCCTGGGTGGAAGGCATCTCTCAGGCATCTTTTTTTTGTAGGATCAGCACCAGAATATCTGTATTTCATTGCTGTTTTAGCTATCCACAATTCCCTGTCACATTTTATGCTTTGGAAAACCAGTCAAGCCCCCATTCTTTCTCAGCTGTCCAAGAGGCTCCCCAAACCATTGCAACATTTGTTAGGAAAACAAAGCACTGGTTTGGTTTGGTTTGGTTTGGTTTGGTTTGGTTCGGTTCAGTTTTGCCCAGCCTGGTGAAGAGGAAGGAATTGGGTGAATAAATCTGTTAATATCTGTTGAAATCTGCCTACAACCATCACTGAGTCTATTTTGAGGGCTCCAGAGATATTTCCTGTTGCCATAGGTCTGCTAGCAAAATCTGGTGCAGCCAAATATACCTGTAAAGAAAAATGTAAAGGAAGTAGCTTCTGAGCAGAAAAATCCCTAAACACAGGGAATTCTGCAGGTAAGATACAGGAGTAGTTTCTGACCGTTGCATTCAAGGATTTCTGATATCAGTAAACACCTCATCATGAGGACAACTTTGAGTGACATCTGCATAACAACTGTGATATCAGAGAAGTGAATGTGAATTCAAAGTCATTCTGAATAATTCAGTCAGGCATCCCTGTCTGACAAGCCCCACGATTGCGTGGTGCCAGAGGAGGCAATGTCTCCCTCAGTGTCACACCATGCTTTGTTTGCAAGGGGAAGGCTTTGAAGGTAGGTAATCTGTGTTTGTTAGAAATAAATAAAGTAATTGCAGTAATTGCAGGTGCCTGGCTATTCTAGCTTTCCCGTGAGGACACTTAGCACTCTTTACAGAGCTCTTAGTACTGCTCATTTTGGAGCAAGAGATACAGAAGGATCTGCTGACCACATTGCAGAGGGATCCCCGCACTGCTGCTGTGCAGGGACATGGACAGGGAAATCTCTTCTCTGTCCCCAGCAGGCACAGTCACAGCTGAGGTCTCCTCTCTGGCATCTGAGCCTGGGGAGAGCAGCCAGTCTTCATCCTCTGAAAAACTTGGCAGAAAGGACATGGAAATTCAGCAGGGGAGAACTTCAGTTTGGAAATGATCAGGGGCACAAAGACCTTTTGTCCTTGGGGGCTTGCTTCCTATTAAATGCCTTTGCACAGGTCAGGATACCCCATGTTCTGACAGCTGGGGCTTCTTTACAAACCAGCAGCTCCCCTGGACGTTGTACGGAGAGTTATCCCAGGAAATCACAAGTGTTAGATGGAGTCACCTGATGAATGGTGTCTGGGATGCAGTGACCTGCACCTAAACACAGCCCAGCAGGCAGCTGACTGTGGCTGTGCAGCTCTGGGACCCAAAATCAGCCAGCTAAGCACAGTGTAGCTCCAGCTGATGGAGCAGAGAGAGGCCCCTGAGCTGTGCCAAAAGTTCACAGGTACACGAACCCACCTCAGCACAGCCGCACACTCATGTGCAGGGCACTGCTGCTGCCCCAGCGAGGGACGTGCTGAGACTGCTCTGTTGGTGCCCAAATACTGGGCAAAACATATTGTGTTCCCCAAACCAGGGCTCTAAGGGGCAAAAATGTGAAGTTTTGTAGCAGCAGATGTTCCCTGTATCACACAAAGAGAACTGGCACCTCCCCAGTGCAGGCACAAGCATGAGGAGGAGGAGGGAGGGTTGCTCAGCGTTGTCTCCTGGGCTGTGGTAGGACTGCTGGCATGGGCTGGCGTGTGCCACACCACCACCTGCCCCAGCAGGGTCACCAGGATGACTCCTGGCAAAGATTCAGGGGAAAAAAGCCCTGTGATGAGTACCAGGTTATCATTTTGCTGTTCAGGGTTTTGAATAACAAATATTAACAAAAGAGCAGTGCTCCAAGCCTGACCTCTGAGAGCTTTCTTTAGTTTTATTTCCTACAGTAGGTGAGCTTGGAAGATGCACCTGGCAGGTGGTCACCAGTCAGCTTTGCCAGGTAGTTTTGTTTTCACTGCAGTCCATCCTTTTTTGCCTCTGATGGCATGTCCCTTGGCTCAAGGCCACATGGGAAGCACTTGTAACCAATCTCAATTAGCTATTTGTTTTAAAATTGTCCATTTTATGTCCTATGGCATTAGTGAGTGATTGCACTGGGCCTGTTTTATGCCTACATGTTGACATAAGTTATGCTGTGTGATCATTTAATGTGCTGGAACTGCATGACAATCTCTGCCTTCCTGTCTTCTTCCATTTGGGAGCAATGCAAATCCTAATGGCAGCAGTTAAATACAGTTTGATAAATAATAATAGAAAAGTAACATTAGATTATTACTCTCCATTACTTCTTTGAAGGCAATTGCATCTGCCAGTTTACAATATATTTTTCCTCCCGAACAGCAGAGAAAATCTTGACAGGCTGAATTACCATCTCATTTCCAACTAGGAAAATACTGACAAGCTTTAAAGGATGGTTTTGAAGAGAAGCCCTGGACATCTAAAGATGTAAACTACAGTTGGATAAAAAAACCTTCAGGGTTCTTACGTACGGGAGACTATTGACTGCAGCACCATCTAAGCAAGATTTTTGCTATAAAACCCCACACCATATGTGCTTTTCCTGACTATGACTCATCATCTAAATAGAAATTCAATTCCAGTCTCAGGGAGTCTATGATTAAACATATTTTTTGCTGTTTCTTCTACTGTGTTTATGTATGATTTTACATCTGTCTTATCTCTATTTCTCTATCCTTAATAGTCAATGTAAGTTCCCTGGTTGACCTGACTCACTGATTTTTTTTTTCCCCACGGGTGAGTGAAGCTTGGTGGCTTCAGCTTAAACGAGTGGTGGCTTTGCTGGAGCCCAAAGTGACGTTGATGTTGCTCACCTGCCATTTTGCAGACAGTAGAAGAGGAACTCCTCCCACGTGTACTACTGTGTCCATGTTATGGTGGTGCCAGGGCTCAGAGGTGTGCGGTTCACATGCTTCGGGTGCTGCCTGGATGATTCAAAAGAACCATAACAGAAAACACAGGAGATTTTGACCAGCCTCAGGTCTGTAAGTACATTTTAAACCCACAAGGTTTGAGTGTGTTTGAAATGTACTCAAATATTTCCTTCTCCACCATTGTGTCCTCATGACCCATTGAATCATCAAAGGCTTGGAGATGAAAGAAGGACTTATGGTTAGAAAATGCAAAGGACTCTCTGCTGAAGGGGGAATGATTTGTTGTATCTTCTTTTTCTTTTTTTTTTTTCCTTTTTTTTTTTAATCCCAGAACAAATAGCTCTAGTGGGTAATTCTCTGTGAGGGTTTTCACTGTAATGAGTAACTGGGCTTCCAAAAAGCTGGTTTATGACTAAAGTAAATAAGCTCCCAATCAAAAAAATCCACAGAAATCGATTGCAAAATCCCCATAGTGTTTCATGAGCTTTGAGTCACACTCAGGGCAGAAAATTGCCCAAACCAAGAGCCTGTAGTGAATCAAAAGAGAGCATGGTCCTTTCAGATAATATTAATGATGGTTTTCTTCAGGCTATTTCCAACATGTGGAAACATAAGACCTGTTACTCTATTCAGCTGGAGAAAAGACACCTCATACACCTGAGCATCTTCTAATGGCCTAAGATGGCACTGGCAGGTCAAATGCACCTCTGGGATAATTCTACTGAGCCGAAGAGGCTCTACCAAAGAAGGATTTACTGAGCTGGCACAAGTGTCTAATATTTCTATTTGCTGTAAGGGTTTTTTACCTTTTCAGAAATGGCTGTAATTAATTTTGGAGATGAATAAGTTTCCACCAGGTCAGAGTGAATCCGTTGAAAAAGGACACCTGAGGAGTTTTAAGCCTTTCTCTCCCAAGAGATGGGTATGGAGGTGGAACTGCCCACCCTGTAGAGGCTGCATTGATGATTAAATATGAACTTCACATATGAATGTATTGTTTTCAACCTCAGAAATATTTACCAAAAAATCAGGGATCACGACCTACTGGACAAAAGGAAAACAGTCACAGCCCTGAAAGCTGGAGAAGACCGGGCCATACTCCTCGGGCTGGCCATGATGGTGTGCTCTATCATGATGTACTTCCTGCTGGGAATCACGCTGCTACGCTCCTACATGCAAAGGTAATCCCATGCTTGTCCCTGGTCTCACACCCCCTGCTCCAGCTGACTTTGTGTGGCTTATTCTTTTGACCCTTTTTATCAAAATTTTATAATGGTTTATTTGTTCAACATAGGCCAAACTTTGCACCTCTTTGCCCCAGTATAAATTAGGCACTGACACAGTGAAAACAATTCAAGTAATATTGGCATAGATTGAGGGAAGAATTAGATCCCTGTTTGACAAAATCTCAATCCACAGGCTTTAGACTTGGCACAGTTTAACACCAGTATAATAACCATATCAGCTGGCCTGCAGTCTGCTGAACATTATAAGCTTCTCAGAGGCTGTTGCTGCAAAGCCCAGACTCAGCACTAAAGAATAAAATAAGAAAAAATATTTTGCAGCCTTGAGAAACAGTACACTTCCAAATGAAGGATGGAGAATTAATTTGGGAAGGAAATCAAGCTCTTTGTAGCATGTAGTTTTGCATGTTGGTTATTACTTTCATTTTAACAAGTGAAATCCTCATGAAAGATAGTAATTTGTTGAAAGTGAAAAGACCATCTTTCATCATTCCTGCACTGCACTTAATTTTTCTGAGGCTTTCTCTGGCTTCCTTTTCTGCCACTGAGTAGAGAGTTTGGCCTGTGATTCATTAACAACATTTGTAATCAGTTTTCAAACATCAGCCCTATTTAAAATCCAGAGCAGACTGCAATAAGACTGTCAGAGATGGGGTTTTTTCCTGCCCTGATTGGCTGAGTTAAGAGAATGAAAAATTGTGCAGCTGAGGATCAAAATATTAGTCTGCCATGCCCCAAACCACAGTAAGGCAGGGATACATACCTGGAACATTTTGGATTTAACACCACAGGCTTCTTTAAGCACATGCAAGAAGTGCCTACAGGTAACTGGTGTGAACATCCTCAATTATCAAATTGATAATTTGATCACTAGATCAAAATACTGGTGCACCTGCATGAGAATATTCCCTCTTGACCCTGCAGTGATAAAGAATACAGATGAGGATGAGCTTTACTGATCCACAGCACCTTATTTGTGTGATCAAGTTATCTGTCCCTTTTTGAATCAAGGCAAAATTTAGATTTTGGAAACTGAGATCAAGACCTGTTAAGTATCCAAGAGCATTTGCTATTCCAAATTGTTCTCCCAGGTCTTTCAGCAATATCAGGGTCAATTGAAGTCTGCTAAGGTCAAAATCACTCACATGGAAAGAGTTGATTTATATTATATGATATATGAAAAAAAATTGCCAGAAGATATCAAAGCACCTCCAAAGTATCAACTATTCCATCTTCACAAGTCTGTGGTAGGTAGGTGTTACTTTATTACCCCCTGCATGAATCAAACAGCAGCCAGAAAGGTGAAAGTGAGGCGAAGACAACCCAGGAGCCTTTGCTGTCACTTTTTTCCACACAGACTGATCTCCTCAGGGGTTATTCTCCTTTACAGCAAAGCTGCTCCAACAGATACTGCCTGGGAGGGGGAAAAAAATCCTTTCATTCAATTTCCCCCCAGAAAACATAGCATAATTTAATATAAATGTAAAACAGAATATACAAGCAGAATTACTGCCAAAGTAAAACAGCAATAGAGTTAGTCAGAAATCTTTGATATCACTTACCATGTAAAGCCTCTCATAGATTTTTGAGGGGCAAGCAGACACTCACCCCCTTCATGGTAGGGCAAGACAGCTGCATTGGGGGTGAGCTGAGGGGCTGAGCACGATTAAAGGGAAACCCTGAGTGAAACCTTCCCCCAGCCCACAAAGGGCTTTTTGCAGAGCCCTCAGTGTGCCCTTTCCCCAAGGAAAACACAGCTGTAGGTTTTTAAATACATGCCAGCAAACATTGCTAGTGCACAGCCAGGCTCCATCATTCCAGTTTTAGCCTCTGGTGAATTGGAGATGAGATAAAATCCTGCAGAAAAGTTACAACCACTGACTTAACTTACAGAAAACCAAGCAAGCTGCCACTAGGAAAGACTTTCCCACAGGCAGAGCTGCATGAGGTACCACTTGGAAGTTCCTATGTCTTCATGTATGAGAATCCATGCCCTACTAATTCAAAATTGTCCTCTCAACCTTTGTTTTAAACTGGCCTGGACTTTCAGCTAACCCTCAAGTCTTAGCTCAGGGTGTCTTGTCATGCAGCACAGTGTGCATTGTGCTCTCCCCAGCACAGGCTGCTCATTTTTGTTCTCTCTCTGCTGAAACTCTCAAACATACCTTCTCCAGGCTCCAAGTTCCAGTTCACTTTCCATTTATACACAGACATAAGTGAATAGGGTCATTTTGTGCCCCAAGGTTAAACTCTGTGCACTACAGAATAAAACACTGTCTGTGATGTGTGACATGAGACTGCCCAGGCTTTGCTGCAACACGTAGCCTCTCTTACAAGATGCCCCCAGTATATCTCTGATGGGAATCCTGAGATGGCTTTAGTGCTTATTTACCTATTCTTGTCATGCTCTAATGTCTCCTTTTTTTCCTACTTAGTGTCTGGACAGAAGAGACTCAGTGCTCGCTTCTCAATGCATCCATCACAGAAACCTTTAACTGCTCATTTAACTGCGGCCCAGAGTGCTGGAAAATCTCTCAGTACCCCTGCCTGCAGGTGTATGTTAATCTCACCTCTTCTGGCCAGAAGCTTCTACTTTACCACACCGAGGAAACAATGAAAATTAATTCTGAGGTAGGAGCACAGAATAAAATTTGTTCCTAAACGGGTTTCTGGAGGGCTTCTCATCTCATTACATCCATTCTTTGCTTTAAAGCAATATAAGGCTTCCAGCTTCTGCTTCACTGATAAATACAGGGCAGAGAAAGCAGAAATCAGTTCACAAACCCAGCTCACACATCTGGAGAGGGGCAGCTTCCTGCCTCCATCCATTCCACACGGGGTGCTGTGCCCCAAGGGCTGCAGCCTCCCTCATCCTTCTCAAGTGCTTTGCAGGAGCTGGGGATCACGGAGCACTTATCATGTTGATATTCTGGTGGAGCTGTGGACAAGTCAATTCCCACCCAGGAATGGCTCCCCACGACACTGAACATCCCTTGAAATGTGCAGGGAGCATCAGTGTGGCAGTGAGAGGGGAGATGGGCATTTCTGCAGGGCTGGGCAAAGAGGCAGGGAGAGATGAGAGCCCATCTCCATCCCTGGTGACAAACTCTGTGCCCGAGCAGCTCCACTGAGGTCAGCTGTGCTGCTGGGCTCCAGGCACTGCACTTACCCTGCAAAGATCCTGAAAGTTCACTGAGTGGGGAGTGGCAAGAGAAAAGCAGCAGCATAAATATAAAAGGCCTGGCTTTGGGGTGTGAATAAGGTAAGGAGTCACCCCACCTTTACAGCACAACTTCCCTGATTCCAGACATTGAACTAACGGGGTTATTTCGAGAAAGTCTGAGGAATTCCCCTCTCTGCTTCTGCAAGTACAAACTCCAGTGTAACCTCATGCAGGTGGGATGGCAAGAGCTCCTGTCTGGAGGCTGTAGGGAGTCAGCAGATGCGGAGGAGGCTCCAGGCAGTGGCAGCACAGCTGGGGCTGGCGCAGGCCATGCATCACTCCTGCCTTCACAGGTGCCTCCACGCTCCTTCCACACAGAAAGGCGAGATGAGAACAGGGAAATTTCCCTCTGCCCGCCTTCCTTTCTTCATATTGACAACACCTGTGTCCCTGAGAGTTCAAACTGGAGTGAGCTGGGACACAGTGGGATCATTACAGCTGACAGATTTTCTTTAACTACTCTGTTATCCAAGGTCGCTAAACCCCAAACTTGGCAAAGCACACCCCAGAACAACAGAGCCCTGGATCAGACTGCTGACAACGTAACCTGTTGTGTTTCTATTTATGGTAGCCATTCAGTAGAACAAATTTATTCTGCCTATTAAGAAGAAGCGATATTAAAATTTGTCAAAGCATGGCATGGTTGCACTAGATTGCTTATTCTGCTGGATGATCAATTCTCGTGGCTGAGAGATGGAATCCTCTGGACCTGAAGTGTGAAATGGAGAAGAGTCCCCCTTTTTTCCCCTCTGCTCTGGCATCAGTGCAGGAAGAGGCACTCACTGTCTGTGAAGCCTGAGGCAGGACAGATCCCACTTCCTGCTGGGGCACAAGCAAAATCATGATGTTCACACCTCAATTTGATTAAAAGAGATCAGATAAATCTCTGTGCTCCACTGATTCAAATAAATTGAGAGATTCAGCATAAATCTCCACATTCTGTTATTGATCATTTTTGCTTGCTGAAATGGACTTTGAAATTCTCTCAAATGCCAACCTCCTCTTAATTTAGAGTAGGCACAGTTAATACTTTCTCCAGCCCAAGGTTGTTTTACAGGTTAAGCTCTGCTCCCAGGAGGATTCCTAGGTTTTCCTGACATGCTGCTGGCTATGTGACCTGAATACAAAAGCAGTTTTGAATGGAAGTTTGCAGTGTCTATAAAATACCTGTCTTTTTGCTCATGGCTCAGATCAGCAGTTTCCAAGCTCAAATCAGCACAACCGATCTCAACATTCCAGATGTGCTTTTCCTCTGGCCAGAGAGCACCCCCATGCAGCAGGAAAACAGTCCTGAGCAGTCCTGAGCAGTGCTGGGTGCTAATGCTCCAGCTGGGTGCTAAACTGTCTCTCTCCATCCACCCACTCAGATCTGTGTTCCTCATCTTTACCCTTGTCAAATAAAGAAAAGAAAAAAAAAAGAAAAAAAAAGAAAAAAAAAACCAAAAAAACAAAACAAACACATGCTTGGCTCACTGAGCTCTGACATTACTGGGGACAACACAGCACAGTCCTGACACTCCAAGGTCAACACCAGTGACCTCAAAAGGGGAGCACCCCTCCACCAACCTCTGTGCTTTGCTGAGCACCCACACACAGAGGCAGAGCAGCGTCTGGAGCCTGTCTCTCTCTTCTCCCCGCCAGCCAGCACAGACAGAGCGAAATCCACCTTGATTTTAAATAATGGTTTATCCAGGAGAATTGCTGTCTAACCTGCCTGTTGGCTCAGAAGGTGGAGTAAGGAGTAGGTACAATTTATACTGAGATCTACATCATGCTGCTGCCAGTCTCCGGTGGGAATCAGTGGGAAGTCAGTGATGTCTGTCAAGCTGCTCGAGTCTTTCCAAGAAAAGCACATAAGATTCTTTTCTGGCTTTTCATTGCTCTCACTGTGCCTACTTTATCTCTAGCCTTTAGGAGAAGCCCAGCCCCTTGTCAATACTACAGACAAAATAGTTTAAATGCTTCCGTGGCTGCGCTTTCCATCCCCAGCTGCCAAAGGCTGTAACAGCCTCTGCAAGAGGTAAATCTGCCATGGAGCCAGGCTGTCACCATGAGGAAGGGCTGTGGTAGTTAAAGCAATTAGAGAGGCCCCATTTTGATCTCATCTTATGTAATTTTGACTCTTTTCATGTCATCGGAGCTACTGCTGATTTGTATCAGTTCTCCATTAGTGAGATAACAAGAAGGATTTAATCACCAAAATCAGCTGTAACTGCCTGAGACTCAGAAATGATGTGGCTTCTCAGGGTTTCTCACCAAAGACTCAGGTATTTATAAGTCAGGAAGGAGTTTGCTTGGTGCAGGGAGGGGAAGCAGAGGTCTTCAGCTGTGGATTCCAGTAGACCCATTTCAGGGCTGGAACTGAAGAATTCCATCTGGAGGAATCAATTCAGGCCAACTCAGACACGGAACTCTTTGCACTTTATGAGGGGTTTAAATTGACATCCTGATCACTTTCTTATAAAGATTGTCACAGCACATCCTGTCTAAGTTTCCAGGCTCAGCTTGAGCACCAATCCCAGTCACAGACATATGATGAGAGCTGAATATTTCACTGTCCAGCCTGAGCTGGGGGCTTTTCTGGAAGTGGCCTTTTTAATGAATCTTCCTTGATTTAAGGGAAACTGCCTCCAGCTCGCCTGGAGAAGTTGTGTGATCTCCATCCTTAGAGATATTCACAACCTGACTGTACAAGTCCCTTAGTAACACTGCACTGAGCAGGGCACTAGACTGGATGTGTCCAGAGGTAATTCAGACAGGATACCTACCCAATCCTTTATATTAGGAAATTAGAGATGGAAGCATTGATAACAACTTCTATTTATAACTGTCTGGTAGATCCATCTTGTGCTCAGATTGCAAGGTATACAAGAACCACCTTTCTCATGCTGCATCACAGAATCTTCACCTGAAGTAGAGCACCAGACATTGTTTACTTGCAGATTTCCAAGTGTTTGACAATGCAGAAGTGTCAAAAACCAGCATAGATTTAATTGTCTACATTCACAGGTACAGCATAACAGTTGTGGATATAAAATTCCTTAACAAGGCAGGGGAGAAAACTATTGAAAATTTAAACTATGGAAAACAAAGAAAATATCAATACATCCTGTTACTGAGTCTTCCTACTTGTTTGCCAAACACCATGAAACCATGCTGTCCCTGGGAAATCACTGGGAAAGCTGAGATGTTGAAGGAGGCCAGGAGACCCCACAACCAAAATTTAATGTCCTAGTGCTGAGGACCTTCTCAAAGCTAAGACCAAGATGTTTCCAGGATCCCAGGAGAACCAGAGTGAGGCAGACAGCAGAAAGAGTAAAGGGCACCTGGGAGGCCACAGCCTGGAGAGAGAGAGACAGCTTCAGCACAAGGAGTCCGGATGAGAGGCAAAATAAATCAACTTCCCTTGCACAGCTGCTCTTCACAGTTTCATGCTCCCAGACCCTCCATCATGGGCAGCTCAGCATGGCTGGTGGCTCTGTGCCCACAGGTGTAGGAGGAACAGCTCAAGTTCTGCTTCAGGTCCCCTCTGAAAACACTTGGACAGTAGCTGGACTCACTGCACTCTTGGGGTATTTCTGCAAACTCAGAACCCAGGAATCTTTCATCCTTTTGGCTTCTACATATCTTCTGTTTTCTGCCTGTGGGAAGTTGTATTTCGCAAAAGTGGCCAAGTTCTCATTTAATCACCTCATTCGGGATACTTCACGGGAATTCTGGAAACAGAAATTGTAACAAAAAAATGACAAGAAAAAAATGCCAAATTCCCCCCAAAAAACACGACACAAACCCATTTGAAATGGAAATGCTGCTTTTATGGCAGTGATAACAGATAATTTATTAAGGGAAAATGAGAAATGCTTCACTGAGAAATTTTCCCTACTTAGTAGATTGTGATCTATTAAAGACTCGTGTGCACTGGAAGAGGGCTCGCGACATTGGACATTCAAGACAAATTTGGTCAGAGTACAAGAGGATATCCTATAGGGAGCAGACACGCACCAGCAGCAAGATGGATGAGATATTAATGCTCTGATATTTTTCATCTCTAATTTCTAGAGCTCTATGAAATATTCATAATGGCAGTGTGGACACGCTCCACCATTAACGCTCCAGTCTGCTAACACCAGACAATCTCTCTGCTATGCTTCAAATCCTATTCTGTGTTAATAACTTGCCAATGAATCAATCAAATCCTGTTATGAGGTTAATCCTTTGATCATAATTAGGACTAGAGATTTGTTGCAGTATGTTAAAAAAAGAAGTCACAGCATGTCACAAAAAGGAATGAAGGGGCATTTATAAAATATGTGCATTAAAACAGTAATAATCAAAACCCATGGGTCACATTATTTTAATCAGAACATCTTTTTTCCTTTGCAAAATTCACTTTGTCATTAAATTATCTGGGGCTCCCTTAGATTCTCACCAGGACAAGCAACCTGCTGGGGCCCACCTGCATGTCCAACGAGAAGTCAGGCAGCAGATTTACACTCCTCCTGAAGCAGTTAATCAAAACCCTGTGCAGGTGCAGAAAACTTTCAGATTTGGTGGGGTGCAAGTGCATAGAAGAGAGAAGGAAGTGAGGCTGGCTGCTGGGCTGCTCCTGTCATCTTCCAGACCTGCAGGAGCAACAGCAAGTTCAGGGGTTTCTGTCTGAGGTTAAAAATTGTCCATATGTGGTCCCAGTCCTTGTGTCTGCCTACCACCTCACCAGCCCACACCACATCTTGGTCAGCAGAGCCCAGGCCTACTGTCCTGCCTTTCCCATGGAGTATCTTCAGTGCATGGACTGCATGAGGCAGCTTTTTAAAATAACTTGCCTTTAGTATTCTCTGGATATCTAGGTTGCAGCGGTGCTAGATAGAGCCACTCCCAAATTTTATTTCCTTTTGGACTAAAACAAAAATTCCAGGATCATCTTCAGAGAGAAGGAAATGTTTGGGTTATGCTGGGGTCAAAGGCAAAAGCATCACTGAGAGCCACTCTGGGAACCAGGCTGATCTTGAGCTAGAGGCTGAATGAAAGTCCTCTGGGCTCTCAGTAGGAAAACCTAGACTATTTATTTGTCTCTAACTGAGGCATTACCTCCATGAGAATATTTGTCTGAAGGTCTCTCCTCATCCCCCTCCCCTCTGAGTGAGCTCCTGGGCCCACTGTGATCACTTTGATCCAAGCCAAGTGAGAGCTAAACTACCAGATTTGTATTTACAGAAAGTCAATTACCCATCTAACTGCGAGCATATGTGTGCCACTTAAGATGAAGAGGCACTTTATCAGTTCTATTTTTGCATGTGCAAATTAGCAATAATAATATATTCACCTATCTCACAAGGCACTGTGCAGATTAAAGCATTAATGTTTGAACAGCACTTGGAGGTTCTCCAATGGGAAATTCTGTAGTTGTGGAAAATATTGAGTTTTGCTGCGATAAATTTATTATTAGCGTAATAGCATTCCACTCTTGCTATGAAAAGCATAATCATCTAGAGATTTCCCCACCTGCCACCTGAAAACAGACATTGTAAGAGGTTTGGAGATGTTTTTCTCCCTCTGATCTCTTCCCAGTGTTCGTACATCCCCAAGTGCGGGAAGAATTACGAAGAATCCATGTCCCTGGTGAACGTGGTGATGGAAAACTTCAGGAAGTACCAACGCTTCTCCTGCTTCTACGACCCCGAGGGCGTTCAGAAGAATGTGATCTTAACCAAACTGTACAGCTCCAACGTGCTGTTCCACTCCCTCTTCTGGCCCACCTGCATGATGATCGGCGGCGTCGCCATCGTCGCCATGGTAAAGCTGACTCAATACCTTTCCCTGCTCTGCGAGAGAATCCAAAGGATCAGCAGATAGGAAAGGAGACTTCTCTGAGATTTAATTACAGTGAAAATACTGTTTTTTCTCATTCTTCACCAAAGAACCTTAAGTTTGTAATGTGCAAGTCTGGTATAAGTTCTATATTCTTCTAAGTAGAGCAATAATGCAAAAGCTGTTCTATATGCAAACATGATGTTATTATTATGCAGACAAATGAAAAAGTTACTGTTTTGTGTTGAGCGTCTCTATGATCTTGTTTTAAGCTGGGATTAGTACTTTCTTTTCTACTGCCAAGATAGGGCTCATTGTGACCGTTGGCCAAGCTTTAGTCAATCGATGTTTTTGGTGTAAAAAGATTCTGGGGAAATTCACTGCTGGACAAAGGGCAGCCGACCACTTGTGCATCATTGAGGTCTCACACCTGGCTCAGTCCATTCAATGGATTTGTGGCTTTGGGTTTTTTTTAATATTGGCAGGGTGAATAAAGCGTTAATTAGGGGGTTTTTTGGTAAGATGGCACCAAAAGGATGTATTTTGAGTTTGGGATAAGCAGACAGTATTTTCAGCCTCAGCAGGACTTGGTGATGCTTTGTGTTTGCTCCCTCAGTTCAGAAGTCAATTGTACCCTATGGTGTTTATGAGGTCTATTGGAAAACACTTTGGAGTTTTATTTTGTGTAGTGCTATAATTTTCTTCTGTCTTATCAATATAATTTTTTGTCACTTGAAGAAGCTGTAGCCAAAAAGCAAAAAACACCTTGTTCCATTTTGTATTCTAGTCTGAGCCCTATTGATGGAGGTGGGACCAGAACTCCTTATTTAAAGGTTTATTATTCATTTGTCTTGTATTTGCTACCATATCACTGTAAAGAAAAAAATAACACTATCAGCTATTTTTTCATTTTTTACTTCCAACTATTTTAGATTTTTTTACTTGATATATATACAGATATATATATATAAAGAAAAAGATATATTATATCTAGTTGTGTATTGAAACTTGTTTAGGGGGGTTTTTTCTTTGTTTTTACCCACTGGAAAATGAATAGTACAACTCATGTATTTGTAACCTTCGTCCTTGGATAATATCATAACATGGAGAAGCAGCACTGCAGGATCTTATCCAATATTCATGATGTTGTTTCAGTCAAAGGTCTCTGCTGCTATGACATGGGAAATGACAAAAATCTCATCCACTTCTATGGCTCTATTAACTGAATTGTTAGATAATCATCACAACACATTTGGAAATCTCTCCTGACCTTAACTCACTATGCAGTGCTGGCTGACGTGAATTTTTATTTACATGACCCAGGTGCAATGATTTATTGGAAAAACTGAGAATCTGTCAAAATTGTTGTCCTATCTGTCAAATATTTACCACAGTATACTTGCCAGTTTAATTTCATACACACTGTAGTCACAATTTCTGCATAATTTATTTTTATTCCCCTGTAGAAAACATTTCTTATGTTTTAAAGACACCTCTCTCAGTTCCTCATATTGCACCCGGCCTGAAGGACAAACACAAGGCACATCTTGGGAGCAATCCTGTGAACTCATTATCCAATAGCTCAAAGAAACCATAATACAGGTCTACTCAAACCAAGGAAATAACAATTTCCCTTCAAAAAGACTGCAAATCAAGTATTCTGCCTAGTTCATCTATCTATATATATATATATATATAAGTACCTTTCCTCATCATAGCATTAAAAATTTCAAGATGTTACAAAACAAGTCATGCAAGTGTAATGTGAGCTGTAAAAAAAAAAAAAAAGAGTTCTCAGCAGTGAAAATAAACCTGCAATCTTGTAATCAGTAGTATAATTTTCCTTAGGTAATTAAATTCCTGGAGGGTGGGGGGTGATAATGAAGGTTCCAAAAATATGTAATAAAAATATTCAATTAAATCTTCCAGATTTCAGTATCTTCTGCCTTCAGATCTGGCTTGTTTCATCAAACTGCTTTCTGCAGCCTCCATTACCAAGAAAGGAGGAGTGCTGGTGCACCAGGGAATTCATAAATGCTCATTTGCAAAAGCTCTGTTTCGATCGATATGTTGGAATTGCAGAAGATCCCGCTGGGGGATTTGGGAAGCTCAGCCTCAGTGGGGCTGGACTGTGCTGCAATCCCAAATCAGGAATGCTGCACGGCCCTGGCAGCACAGAGCTCTGCTGTGGTGCCTCTTCCACACCACCACAACACTCGTGCTGCCCATTTGCACAACGATTTACGTGCCTTGTGACATCTTTGGTGCCTGTGTTTGTGTATTTTCTCTGGGTGACAGGGAAGCTGATTGCTTCTGACATTTACACATCAAATGCTGCTTTCAACATGTCATGCCATAAAACATTTCACCAGAGCTCCTGTGGGTGAAACATCTTGCTGCTGTTGTAGGCTATAATCATTTTGTTGACATTAAGGGAGAGATCTGTGGGACAGCAAAACAACTTGAGTAATTGGATGGAGTGAGGTGAAACAATAATTTTGAAGGGAATTATCCATCTGATCACTGGCATTGTTAACCCCCTACTGAAGTTTCAGCACTGCAAATGGGATTTTTAACAACTCCTGCTACCCCAAACAGAGGTGGTGTTTCAGAAGGGATGTTAGTCTGTGCTGTTTCTTTCTCTGTTTTAATATCATGTTTTCCCTTGCAAAAGACATTGATGTTCCTGTAGGCAGCTCAAATGAATGAGAAAAACATGTAATGCAATTCAGCAGCCAGGCAAACCTACCCTGTTTCTAACACTGCTTCTGACTCTTCCCAGCACAAACATTTCAACTCTTGGTGTCCCAGCTGGGCATTTGGGAGAGCAGGGAAAAACCTGTCCTGGAAAACCCTGGAAGGGAGAGGTGCAATATGAAAAATTTTGTGCAGTATTTCCAGGCATCAGAAGCCTATGACAAGCACCCTTGTGTGATTTAAAAGTATTTAAAGCATTCATAAGTATTTCAGATACCAAATTCCTATGGCCTTTTAGTAGTATTTCTTAATTAGATTGTATATGTCAAGCCTTATTCCTATTCTGGAACATCTAAATCTGAAACTGAAGTGTGAACATCCTTGCTGTAATACTTTGAAATTTGGCACCTTCAGCAGATTTACTAAATGTCACCAGCTAGGACAACAGAGAGTTTATTTTGATTTAGTTTTCTTCATTGAGGAGATGTCAATTTATCTCACAAAATGTACCCAGTGGAAGAATATCCTATCTCCAGCAGCAAGAGAGGGTTCAGGAAACTAAAGAAGAGGAGACACATCTCAAGGAGACACAGAGGCAGTGATTTCCCACCTGAAGGACAAATAGGGAACAAAGTCCCACCTCGAGACTTCCTTTTTTTTTTTTATTTTGTACAGAGGATAGGAGTGAACTTGGGTAATTAATTTTTTAACTCTGTTTGAAAAAATCGGGTGAGGGTAAGGCTTAGGGTTAATTTCAGTTCAATGGAAGAAGTTGCTGAGAAAGAACTGGCTGGTGTTCATCTGTTCCATGAGGATTCCTGCTCTCATTTGACTCTCAAACCTTTGACCTTACAGCAGTACAAACTCTGTCATGAGTGGTGCTGTCCATTTAACAGCACTTTTATAATTTTTCAGCTGATTTCCCTTCTCATACAGTAATGCTGGTATTAAATTAGCTCCAGGCATTCAAGGGTGTTTTCCAATATCTTTGCAGCAACACAATTTTTCCATAGTCTCTGAGCATCTTCTCTTCATTAGCCACTGTACTGTTCATCATCCATCAAATATTTGGGGAAATCCCTTACTTTTCTGCTCCACTGAGCATTCATCACTTCCCAGTACTCCGTTCTGCAGAGGAAAACCACACATGATTTTTGGAGGTCCCGAACATCTCACAACTGAATACAAATTTTGACAAATCGTTTTTGTCATGCAGGATAGAACTAAAAACAGGAGTAAATTTCAATTATTTTGTTTCAGTGTTTTGAAAACAAAATGTTTACATTTTTCAGTTTGAACTGAAGAAGCATTTTAAAATCTAGGAATGAGGGAAACTTATTATATAAGAAATCTTGAAAAATAATAGTAAGAAACATAAAAGATCCTCTGATGTGGGGAAAAAAAAAATAAAAATATCAGCAACTGGTCAGTTCACTGAATATTTTGAGGTGGGGATTTTCTTATGAGGTTGACCAGCAAGGTTCTTTCATTTTTATCTCCCACCAGTGAAGTGCAGGATCCATCACAAGGATGTAACCAGCAGCAGCAGCCCCAGGCAGGGTCCAGCCAGGCTTGTGTGGGGGATGCTCATCTCGGGGGTCAGCAGGATGGGGAAAGCAAAGCACAACACCTCCCTCCACACATCACAGCTACTGAACTGAGCTGCTCCTGTGCACGCACTCTGTGTTTAAACCAAACTACCTAGATTTATTCTTTTTAACACAAACTGGTCCTGGCCATGTGATTCAATTATTTGAACTGTTGTAAATTAGGGAGGACCCTGCATGCTGAGGCCCTGGGTGAGTGGATTCTGTGTCCTGTTAGCCCCAGGAGTTTGGGGCTAAACCCCAGCACAGTGTTTGGCCCATTAGGAGCTGGCTCTCCCAAGCTCTGTCCTCTCCTGTGTTTGATAAATCCCAGTAAACCAAGAGGGGTTGATGCTGCCTTTGCCATCTGCTGGTCCCCCAACAAGCCTCTTTTTGTCCCTGACCTGCAGCTGCTAAATTTAAAACAAACTTAATTTGACACAAAGAGCTTCTTCCTCCTTTGGATATGATCTAAAAAACCCAAATAAATCAGCAATGCTGCCTGGTGAATTCACACCACAATTTTTAAAATAAATCAAATTTCTCCAAACAGTGAAGGAAATGTGTTAATATCATCAGAGCTCTCCATATAGCCTGTCTGCTTTTTCTAGGTCTCCATTTTAGAGAAGGAGCTGGTAGGTATTTATTTTTAACAGAACTATATTTATTTAGGTAAGAATTTAGCATATAGTGATTTTATTGTAATATAGATGGTAAGAGATGCTCATTCTAAAATGCTTTGCAAGCTCTGTTGAAACACAGCCATTTCCAGGCAGAAGCTCAGCAAATGACTCACAAAACATGGGCAGAGATGGAGGACCAGCTCTCACTCAACACATAGAAAAGTTTGTTTAATTTGGAAATTCAAGTAAAAGCAGGTGAGAGTTAGAAGCATCTCCAGAGGCTCTCAGACAGGTCAGATTTAGGGAACCACATAAATTTATGTCCATACCCTTCAGCATAGCATTGAAAGATCAGACACTTCTAGAGGTTGCAAAAAAAAAAAAATAAAAGCACAGCTTTTTGTCCAGGAGAGTGCTCAGTTTTTAATATATTTCAGGAAAAAATATTAGAAGACTGCTGAAATACCGTGACATTCAGTGCATCCAAAAACTAGCTTACTTTATAAAGATACCATTTCTACTATGCTTTTTTAGATTTTTTTTTTGAAACTTGGAAAAAATGCAAAAGCAAAATCTGAACCTGGAGTGATCTCCCATTGTCTCAGCTAACTCTTTGTATCAACCCAACTGATTTTTTTTCAGGTTTTTCAGTCTGCAGAATATTTTGATGATTTTCTTCCCATTCACAGCTGAAAAAAATATGGTAGAATTGAAAACATGCTTCCCTCTCAGCTCAGGTTAAAATCTCCGAGCCTCCTAGGACAGGTTTTCTATTACATCACATGGAAGGTGTCCTTTCCTGTGGCAGGGGGTGGAAATAGATGATCTGTGAAGTCCCTTCCAAGCCAAACCATTCTATGATTCCATGTGTGTGAGGAAGGTGGGAGGTTTCTTCTGCTCTTCCTGAAGTCTCCACCTTGGCAATTCTTGTGCATAACTGCAGGTACTGGTCTGTATTCAGCTACCAAGCACTTTTTAACACCCAGACACCTGCACAGTTAACTCCAGATCACAAGCAAAGGCTCTCTGGTGCCAGAGGCTGCTGAGCAGCTCAATCCCCAAAATCCAGGGGGCAAAAAAAGGAAGAGCACCTTGAAACCCTTCCTGGGGAAAGGCGCTTGTGATTTCAATCACAGCGCGCTTAAGCTCTCCATTATATTCATCAGAAATTAAATAGGAAGCAAAGTCTGATGACTAAGCAGCAACACCTTAATCACTCCCCTCAGAAGAGTTCAAAGCTGTTAATACAGCAAGACAGCTGAACAATGCAACGGGAGGCTGCAAACACTGCAGAGGCTGCAAAACCCAACTCAGAGGGAGCCTGGGTGTAATTACTTGCCTCTTGCTCGGCACCACTTCACCATGTGCTCAAAGACAGTGGGAAGGCAAGTTTGTACCAGCAGCAGCACGTTTTCCATCTCTGGCAGCTCCCTTTCCTCCCCAGCACATGCTGGCTCCCAACCCCACACAGGGGTTTCTGGGTCTCAGCCTCCAAGTACGAGACAAGATCTCCCACCCAAGAGCAAAACAGAGGCCAAGAAATCTGTCCCAGCGCAGGTTTTCCCACAGCATGTGAAGTGCCACTAATCCAAGGTTTCTATTAAACAGCCACCAGGAAGGAAGAGGAAAGACAAATAGAAAACATGAGTAAATGAGATGTTCTGCTTTGCTCAGGAGAAATGAGGATTATCTGTTCACACACAGGGGTTTCCCAGGGCAGGAGACATTCAGAAGCCTCATTCTCTGTTGGCAGACACATCAGGTTTGGATATAAGATCCAGGTTTTCATTTCATGGCCCTTCACAAATTTCTGCTTGCCAAAGAGTAGCTGCTTATTAGGCCCACTGAACCAGATGCTCAAAGTTTTGAGTATTCAGTATCAAAACAGAATTATTCAAACACC